CTAAGTTCGGACTAAGATCTGTGTACATTGCAGCGGACTTATTTTTATGCTGCCAAAACGCATGAAGAAGTGTCAAAATTAAAATCAAAAACGCAACTGAGAAGTAGGTTAACTCACCATTATTCATCAATGCTCGTTCTTCATTTGTTTTACCCCCTGCACCCTATCATCATGTTGCGGTCTGTTTAGCTTGGTGCCGTTTGTGGCTCACGAGCACCTGACTACGTAATCCTGCTCCAATTCCGTCCCTTTCCCCGTACCTAACCTTTCCATCTTTACATCTTAACAATGTTCATTCTGCCTTTTCTATCTATGCCCCCCCCCCTAAGCATCGTCTAATTTGTTATCATCGCAACTGGCGTGTGTGTACGTGTGAAGGAGGGGGAGGGGGGGAAGGGCAGCACATAATGGTACCAAACCGTGCAACAGAAATCGATCTGAAACTTGTCGTGGCACGGCAAAATTCTAATAAGCGCTTGGAAATAACATAGGCTTACTGGTTAACGAATCCCACCAAGGTAAATGGCTAGCTATAAGGAGCAGAACATTATTAAAACTGGGGATATCATGCAAACAAAACGGCATGCAAATACTAAACACATCGACAACACACCGCTTATTTTAAGATAGACGGACCAGTCACATGGTTGGTGGTTGAAACATGTCAATTAGTTCTTAAATGCACATGTGTAGAAACATGCTGCTCTTCAGGTGCTGATGACTTTCTATAATTGTTCGCCGTAAGTTTAACTTTCATAGTCTGTAAAACCACTAGAATTTATGGTGCCTTTCATCTAAGTCTGATCCTCGGAATATCTCTAGATCATTGTATTACATTCTTGAACTCGCGAGATCCCGAGATTGAGAATTGGTACTGGGGTCGCCACCAGCGGCATCCGCTGTGGCGACCGAGCTGCTGCAGCGGCGGCTAGCACCGGCTGGCCCGGCCCGGCCGCACGCAGACGCCGAGGAGAGCAGAGACCGGAAGGCCCAGGGGATGTTAGGTTTGGTGAGACGGCGGGGCTGGAGCTGCAGACCTTCCTCAAAGCTGGGCACTGGGTCAGCCGAATTTTCGAGGCGCAAAGCCATTGGTTCGTAATGTGGAGAGATGCAAGCAAACAGCTGCCTGCTGCGTGTTTGCCCAGCGTACAGGACGTTGCTTGCGCATGATAGTGCACCAATCGGCGACAAGGTAGGGTAAAACGCCTTATCTGCATACGTCTAGAAGTTTTATGGTTATGTTTCACTAACCGCCATGCTTCAGAACGCTAGACTCTGGTATTGTCCAACATGGGTATTCGCCTCTTTTATTATCCTTCTAAACATTCCAACGACGGCAAAATAAAGCCATGGGGAAAATATTGCACTGGTGGGCGAACCAGTAAGGAAGCGTCTTTAAACAGTTTCCTACCGCTCGTGCGTAAGTAAAAACTGTACGTGAAATTGGTACCTCGCTCTTGCCAAGTTTTTTTGGAATGGCAGACGCGACGCTCGTCTGCAGTCCCAGATGGCCAGTGCCGACCAACGCCTCCAACAATTTGAAGGCTACACCGGCTTGAAATGAAACTTTCATGCACCGACGAAATACTACCATGCCCAACGCTAACTTACTGCGTGGTTTCTGACGAAGTCGAAAATAGTGGCCACAATGCAATGCAACTATGAAAAGAGTCATGAAAATAACGATGCTGCGAGTCCACAGCTGTCTCATTATGCAATTCTATATATGCTTTTATATATATATATATATATATATATATATATATATATATATATATATGTGCAATATTTATGCGATTTTCACCAGATAATTCATTACTCGCTCAAAGATGACCGCCACCTCAAACGGTGCAGCTCAGCATTGCTGACTTAAAATGCAAGCGCGGCACTTTTACACAACGGTCAAACTTTACTGCTAAATTGAAATAGTGTTTATAAACATGGCTGACTACGGTGTGTGGGGCATATTGACACCTTTCTGCTTTGAGCCTGTATTTGGGAGAAGACACAGTTTGTTTTTCAACAAAGTGTTCTAAAAGACTTGCATGGTATCTGCCTACAGAGTCTTGGTAACATGGCGAAAGTCGTACGACGGATTTTTCAGGGCGAAAGCACAAGCCAGTATATTTTTAGTTCCATGTACGACAGCGCAGGAGAAAGCTGGAGGTAAAACAGTGGTATTACCCTTATTCCTCGGGAAAAAACAGGAGAATGAAGATATAAGTTGGCTGATATTTCGGCAACATGCCTTTATCGAAGCAAGAGCAGAAGTGAATTCGCTTCTGCTTTTGGAAATAAGGCTAATAATGCTGTCTTATCTACGTGAATAATGTTCCTCGCCAATGACTGAACAACTTACGTAATTTTGAACTGAATGAAAGAGGGAGGTCATGGAGCACATCGCTGATACCTCCATCTATAGACAGGGACAACAGCGAGCACTGCATGTTGCTCTGCATGACTGCCAGCATGTTTAGCTAGGAGCAGCCGTCTGGAGCAAAAGTGACCTTCCCAGGTCCACTGATGGATGTCACCATAAACACTTTAGTAGTTAGACCTCCAATGAAGGGGGGAGGACGGATTTTTGTACGGAGGACCCACATTCTATCTATTATTCAGGCTCCAGAAAACGACAGGTAGGCTTTCAGAGACACGCACCCGCGCCCGTACAGCCACCAAAACAAAGTCAATGGCATAAAGTGTGCTGCTTTTTTCTCCGTATTAGCGTGTACAAAGATTACGAAAACAAAACGTGCGACAGTGCTACATAGGAAACCATGCATTGTTAAAACATTTGAATGTGAATACGGAAATTGCCTACACATTTTTCTATTGTTCCTCAATTTCCAATTGTCTTTGAATTCAGAGCCTCATACTCCCTGCATGTATCGCATCTGTATTGTCTCTATGGGGCGTTGTCATACGTCTCATGATCACCGGATCTATGTCTGTGTTTAGTTAATATGTGTATGAATTAGCCCGCATATTAGGGCACATGGAAATGAGATAAAAGGGAATCAGTTAGAGATACATTTCGGATTATTCAAAATGTATGACAATACATTAAATCCATGTCCCATTCGCAACGCATCACGTTTCCTATCAGCGTCATCTAGAGTGCGCACCAAGTTGCCGAGCATCAGTTGTTGGGTTGAAGCCATAGTAATACAAATATCCGTACAAAAAGAGAATGGAAATAGGGCTTCCCCTTCCCAGATTATACCAGAAATTCCTAGCCAGTTCTCAGTTTAAATGACAAAAGGCTAGGCTTTTTCAAAATATATGCATGTGCCGGCCGCGTTGCAGGGAAACAGTCAAGAAATACTAATTTTTCAACGCTTTGGTAGTCTTTGCGCTCTGCATGACTGCACACATGCACGCAATTACATCTAGGTCCAGTAAGGTGGAGTCATTTTTATACATAGCGCGATCACCGGAATGGGGCATTTCCAACATGTCTACTTAAAAAAGGCAAATGCATGGAAACAGCCGCACTGTCATGAGCCGGATAAGCGAAAGAAATTCGGCTTTTATGGTGTTCTGTTTTCGATTTGCTACGCGGTAAAGCAGCATAGCCGCCAAATACCGCGTAGATGACTTCCAACAAAAGGCCATTACTAGTGAGGGACCTCACACACTGCATTCTAGCCAGTAAGAGGTTTGCTGCCAGCTGGACCTTCACGACTAAATTTTTAAGCTAGCGGGTACTTCCAGACGAGCCCAAAAACATTATCAATGCTATGTGGTCCATGTTGTCCGCGTGAATCCATGAGGGGTATGAAACGAAGGGCTACTTTTGGACGAAGTGCATCTCAGCTGAGCAATGCACTCAGACTTCTAGGAACATTCACTGAGATGTTTGGGTGTTGCTGCCAGGAAAAAGATTTCTGAAAATCATGGACTTGAAGTTTCTGTTTCTTTGTGGTCGCTCCAGTACGATGCGTTTTGTGGCATGACACGATCGAGGTATTGACAGACGGGACTGTTATCATGTACTGGACACGACAGCAAGACGTAAGCGACTGAAGCCCGTCGCCTTTGGAAGCCCAAACGAGAAGGCCGCATCACTGCATGGGAACATACCTCTTCCATGAGAGATGCTGAAAGATGCTGAGAGATGCGTACGGATATTTAGGATTCGTGTGCGGATTTACAAATGAGTGCTGGAAGATAAGGTCGCCATGAGTGTGGCAATTTTGATCGCGGTGATCATTAATATGGAATAGTTTACTCATCGGTAACCAAGAGTTAAATGGGACTGAGGTTGATGATGATGTAGGGGGTGAACTTATAGAGCATGCAGCCTTAACATCACCACATTTTGGGTGGCCCTGGTCTTCAATTCCTGCCAACATTCGCACAAAAGATCCCTGCACATCAACACCTATCCCTCACACAAACCGGCCGTGTGTTCGGTCAGTGGCACGAGGTGAACGGCCGGGCGCCTGCCGGCCCGCGATGTCAGTTGAGTGGCCTGCACCGGAGCGCACACGCCACCACCGCTGGAATGCCGTGCACACGCTCCTTGCCCAGAAACAGACCGCCGTCCGTCACAGAGCACAGAGCACCGAGCACTCTGTCACTGACGGTCGTCAGTCGATGCATCATCGCATGACATCGGCTCCACCCAAACAAGCTCTCCAGCGCCGGCTTTGTGCACGTCGCGCCTGATTGCCATGAAATGCGTGGACGTGCCAGGCCTGCTACTGAATCGCCTGATAGCACTGGATAAGTTCGAGTCCGGCAATGTATCGAGTCATTCCGCCCGGCAGGAAACCCTAGCCATCAATTACACATCATTTTGCATGACCAGTTCACAGACCGTGATCGCACGAGCAGACAAACGGCCGCGGGACGTCCGGTGTCATCAGCCTCGAAGCGACCCCTTCAACCACGCATGACCTCTTCACGTGGCGGGCGATGAGCCGATGGCGGGGCACGTGCTCCGGCGCCACGTGCTCCGGTCGTCACGTCACGTGGAGAGCATATTCGGTACTCACGTGTCTTACTCCGTGGCTCGCGCGGTCCGTCGACCGTCACCTTCATGCACTTGTTGTAGGTCATTATCTGCGGCGGCGATGTCGATATTTGTATCGTAAGGTTGAAGCTCTTCCCTGAAACGGAGGTGGGCAGTCAGCGTCAACAACAGCTGAACCTGGGACGCACAGCTCGTGTGGCGGTGTGCGCGGGCGCGTTCCATTCCAATGCCTCAGCCCCCCCCCCCCCCCGCAAACTCAGCCCGGGGGCGGGCGCCGCCGCTCTTCGATACCTTAATTTCGGTGACATCGCGTTGACTGTCACAATTTGTCCGGGCCCCTTATTGGGTGGTGAACGGTGGTTGAGGTCGGGCCGGACGTTCAGTGGCGCGGTAAAATTCGACGCCGCGGCTGCCGGTCGTCGGCGCGCTGGATGCCGTCCCGCCGGTGATAAATGACCGGCGCCCGAGACGACGTGTTCAGTCGCTGACAATGGCCTGATTCCATCAAAGCTCCATAGGGTCTGCATTCGTGTCTTGATGAAGATCTCTGCGGTTTGATTCACTGAGTACTATATCGGGCCAATGCTAAATTTTGTAGGTGGTTTGTGGCACAGCCATGCCTTGGAAAAAGAATCTTCTGGTCAAGTTTTTTTATAAGCTATACAAATTAAAAAACATCTGCATTGCGGTACATTGCGGTACAAAAACATTGCGGTACAAACCATAACATAACGGGATTGTATCAGAATGTTAAGGACTTGCCGCTTGTCAAATTGGCATTTCGAGGGCAGAAATAGGTATAGGTGTGCTTAGCCTTTTTTGCTAACTACTGCCAGCCAAAGCTTAAATGAAGCCGAACACCTCAAGTAAACTCTGTGGTAGAGCTTAACAGCGATCTGGTGCTCAAGGAGATTACCGTGTAGTTTCAGCGCCACTTGCCGTAAAGCGGGGAAAGAACTGAGTGATTTGGCGGATTTCGGCCGCACCCCTACCGCTTACGCCTTCTGCACCTTGTGACACTGGCATCCCGGGAAGCAGGAGCCTGGCGCTGAAGCTGCCTGCTACTGGTCGCTTCTGCCCGCGCGGTGTCGGTTATATCGCGTTCCTAATCTTGTTGTTTACGTAAGCCGATCGCTACGTCGCCGGCTGGGTATCCTGCGTCGCCGGCTGGCTGGGCACCGCTGCGCCGCCGGCTGGGCACCCTGCGTCGCCGGCTGGCTGGGCACCGCTGCGCCGCCGGCTGGACACCCTGCGTCGCCGGCTGGCTGGGCACTGCGTCGCCGGCTGGCTGGGCACCGCTGCGCCGCCGGCTGGGCACCCTGCGTCGCCGGCTGGCTGGGCACTGCGTCGCCGGCTGGCTGGGCACCGCTGCACCGCCGGCTGGGTGTCCTGCGTCGCCGGCTGGCTGGGCACTGCGTCGCCGGCTGGCTGGGCACCGCTGCACCGCCGGCTGGGCACCCTGCGTCGCCGGCTGGCTGGGCACTGCGTCGCCGGCTGGCTGGGCACCGCTGCACCGCCGGCTGGGTGTCCTGCGTCGCCGGCCGGCTGGGCGCCGCCGCGCCGCCGGCTGGGTGCCCTGCGTCGCCGGCTGGCTGGGGCACCGCTCCACCGCCGCCGGGTGCAGGTGTTGGTGCCGGTCGTGCTGCGCCTCCTCGGCACGTCCGGCTGTATCAGTATTTCCGGCACTAATTTCCGCCTGCCACATGTGCTGTGCTCATGTAGAATTACATGGACGACCGGCGACAACTGGGCAGTCAGAAGCGAAGCTGGATAGTAAGAAGAGAGGCGTCTACCAGTCAATGAGGAAAATATTTCGGCATTACGCTATAGAGATCGACAATGGTATTGCGCAAAGTGCCCACCAAAGGTCTGACAGACCACCATACCTGCATGGCAGAATGTGAGCATGACCCAGCAGTTACGACGCCTTTTGCGGCGAGTGACGAAGGTAGGGTCGATGCGCGGTTAGCTTGACCCCATGAGGGCTGGAGCGAAGTCGCGTGTGATTTGGAAGGTAGTGTTCGGTAAATGGCAACTTCATTTGTTTACGGACTTACCAGCAAGACAGGTAGGTCATACGTTAAACATTGTATCATATCGGATACGTTCCTACGTTTTGAGTGATAATGATGTAGCATTTACGTAATTTGGCGTATGTCTGATCAATATCGCATGGTTGTCGTGTATATCAAAAGGTTTTCGGGAGATTTTCAGCATGCATTGTTGGTTATCAAGCTTCAACAAGTGTTTGCGTTGACTCTCGTGACGTTTGTCATTGGTGGTGGACCTCCGAAGGGAAGTTCAATATTTCGCATTGCTTTCTTTCTGCCACCAATATTTTTCGTCACACGGGAAGTTGTTGGCCCGCATACTCTAATGTGAAGATACTTAAGGTAAATATGACTATAATCCCGTACACATGTCAATCATGTATCACGGTTGCTTGTCACACAATGTACCACACGATCCGCACATACTTGTGATTCATGATAGCCCTTCACCCCGAACACTCCCACGGTTCCGCTGCAACTCATGGCGTCTCACCGCCGGTGTCAAACTGTCACCCACGTCGATCGGACGGTTTATGGGCCGGCCCAGTCATGATCAGGCCTGCCTCTAGAGCCGCTGGCTTCTCCATGCTAGAGCGCCCAGCCGTACCGCTGGTGCTCCTCGCCATCTGTCGCGCGCTGAGAGCCACCTTGCGGTCGTCTTGAAGATGACAGATCGGGGCTCAACGCGGTAAGTCCACAGTCACCCCACGGCTCGTCGCTGTTGCGACGTGACCAGTGTGGGCCCAGTTGGGGCAGTGCGTGCAGGCGCCTCCAGTGCCGGCACGTCAGCTCGTGCACTACATCGGTCGACACAGGCGATAAGGCGCGACACGTGTTCCGCAGCACGGGGCTGGACGTCCGCGAACTCTTGCACCACACAACCAAGATCACCTTGTGCCGCGATAGCAAGCACTCAGGAGGAATTACGGCGCCGACGCTAAGGTCTGTCGGAGGAAACCTATGCTTGGAACTGCAATGGCTATCACATACCTTTTTTCTTAGACTTGATTTCGTCTAGTGATCTTCGAGCATGACAGAAAGGATGTGAATCGATCATGCTGTTTGGGTTCTTAGAAGCGAGCTTTCGCCACGACATCGAAACTTGATACGAACGCCTCAAAGCCTGACGAAGAGGGATGATGCCTTGAAATTTGTCATGTTTCAGGAAACCTGCATATGCGTGAATATATATATATATATATATATATATATATATATATATATATACGAATATCGCTGCGCTGCAGCCTAAAACCCTTATGGCCTACACGCACCGACGTGCCAACCGCGTGCAGAGCTCAAAGTGGTGACGCCACGCGCACCAGGCATATCATTATGTTTCAACCATCCAGAAGCGTAGATTCAGAGAAAGAACGGTAGCCGCTCAACTAAATGCGGAAAATCTTGTTTTTTAACTGTTTTGGTACTATTGTTACCATCCAGGCCGTAGAGTTAACACTTGCTCAACCCGCAAGAAGGCAGCTATAGAAGGCAGTTGGTTCCCCCGATCCCTGCCTCTATCCCTGGTTCCAGACTCCTCGTGGAAAGATGGGTACCTGTGGATACCGCGTACGCGGTTGAACCAAACCACACGAATTCTGTGGCGTTTTGTAACAAATGTCGCGGATCTGTTTGGCTCTCATATCTCATGCTACGAAACAGATGTTACCTATCTAGACTTATCGCTCCCGTCTCTGTTTGCGTTACAATTCCATCCATGTAATATGTGATACCTTGAATCCTCCTTTGTGAAGATGTCGCGCCTTACGACGTGCGAGAGGCCTCGGAGAACTGCACCTCCCATTTAATCGAGCCACTCAAGTCCCTTCCAAGCCCTACACCTAAATCGGCAAGCACGGTTGTGTCCCCATGCGATTGAGGATAAAGGAATCTCTTATGGCTACAGGGAGATGATCAGGCGGCGCGGGTCAATCTGGTCACCTGTCCGATCCGGCCGCTCTGGGATCATGGCCGCTATATGAAAACGCTGGGCACTGGCGGTGCAGTCAAGTCCATACACGGCGCCTCGACGCAGTCCGCGCCATTATGAGGCCATTACTAGTATGGTATCATGATCAGCTGGAAGACGATCGTGTGCTGTTATGGGGAAGAGTGTATTCCACGCTGCCAACAACCCACTCGAACAGTTGGACATACCGTCACACGGCCAGCCATCCCGCCACACGCCAGCCATCCCGCCACACGCCAGCCATCCCGTCACACGCCAGCCATCCCGCCACACGGCCAGCAATCCCGCCACACGCCAGCCATCCCGCCACGCGGCCAGCCATCCTGCCACACGCCAGCTATCCCGCCACACGACCAGCCATCCCGCCACACGGCCAGCCATCCCGCCACACGGTCGGCCAACCTGCCGCACGCCAGCCTTCCCGCCACACCGCCAGCCATCCTGCCGCACGCCAGCCATCCCACCACACGGCCAGCCATCCCGCCACACGGCCAGCCATCCCGCCACACGACCAGCCATCCTGCCACACAGCCAGCCATGGCGACACGGCCGGGAGGGGCGCGGCGCCGTTCGTGACGGGCCAGCCCTCAGTGTGGGAGACGTCCCGTCCGGTCGCGGGCAGGCCGCTGACGCCGGCTCGTCTCGCCCGCGGCCCGCGTGCCATCGGGCTTTCATTCCTGCCATGAGCACGGGCCCTTGTGGTGGTGCTGCCGCAAGTTGTGCTGTTTCAGGCGCAGCTATCTCCAGGCACAGCAGTCGGACAGCGTTTCACTTCAGCTCAGTGGTGGCCCCGGGCCGCAACTGTGGCATAATCAATGCGAGTGGGTGCAAGTGTTGACTGTCATGCAATGATATTTGAGGAGCCACGGCATCTATAAATCTTCGTCGAGTTCGCATAGGCCGAGAAAGTTGTAGAGCTAAAGACAATAAGTGAATCCTCCCCGAATTCTGGCGGAACACCAACACCTGTTAAATGTACGCATCAGTCAAGGCTTGCTATAATAGGACTTTGGGCGCAACGGCAGTCTGCGCAGTTGAATTCTGATCATGGAAGCGTTTGGATAAACATAAATGTGCCCGCTGAATGTTTCCACACCAGTTATCATTTGCCACGATGCTCCTTTACGTGTTCAATGCTACTGCACAGAAATCTGCGGAACGTAGTTTCATGCGTCCACCCAAGGCCCTAACCAAACGGGTTTGCAAAAATCTATGTAACCAGCTTGCTGGGAAAATGCCTCCTAATATCGTGCGTATGCTGTGTTGCTTTGGAAGAATGCTTTAAGTCTCGAACCGTTCTGACTTTTGTGGCGAAACACATTATAGTTTAGGCTACAAACATAAACTGTTCCGCTTCTCTGGATATAAATTCTTTAACCACTTGATAGCTGTTCATTAAAACGAAATCAAGCATGCGATCAGACCTATTCGTCGTCTTTTTATAAGTCTTATTTGCCCTAACCATGCTAAGTAAATCCTTACCCATTGCTATCGACAAACTGAGCATGGCACCCTGGCTGATGAAGACGTTGGCCGAGTTGTCGGTCCGTCTTAAAATGGTCTGCCGTATCACTTATTTGCATATCCACATCCCACCCTGAATATTTGCCCAACACCCCTATGTCCTTGCGTTGAGTAGTTTGACAGACACCGAACTGTGTGGGGCAGCATCTTCTAGTATATCAACGTATCGGCAAACGCTTATGTTGGTGTAGTTCCATGCACAAATTAACAAACGTACGCAAACGCATGTAACGCATGGCTGGCAAAGTCTTTCCATATTTCATTTATATTGTCATCTTTAAGCCTCGTGTTTCCTTCCTTGTGTTCATGAGAGTCAGTGCGCATACAAAATATCAGAATTTGTATCCGCGAGATATCAGCGATAACAGGTACAGCTTATGATTGTCTACGTTTGTGTGATGCCACACGCGCATACTTGCGCATATGCAAACGGTTGCTTAGGAGATCAGTTCAAAATGCGGCAATTCGCACCAGAAAATATCATTTCGGAACGTCCTCTACAAATAGATGCTAAAAACATATGCGGATGCATGCACTTGTGTAAAAGATCATCTGAAAGTGCAGCAGTTGACAACAACAAATATATTTTTGAAAATGCTTCGTGCAAACCGTTCGTTCGTGCAAACGGCAGTTCCGACTTTTGTGAGATTTGCATAAGAACAATCGCTTACGAAAGGCCTGGGATACGTATATTTACAACACGAGCATTTGTAGTTAAGTTTAAGTTACAGTCACCATGAGTCCATGTCAAGCATCTCGTCCATGTTCGTAACAGTTGTCAATGCTTTTATTTCGCGCCATTAAAATGTTTGACACATGTCTAAGACTTAAAATTGGCAAACGCTCTAGCTTAGCCAGAACGAAATAAATGTTTGTGACCCCAAAAAGCGGTTTTCGATGCCAAATAACGCTGAACAACGAAAGTATTGTCTTGAGCACATTTTGTTTCCCTCACGTTGTCTCAAAGCCATGTCATAAATAATGTTTAAGCACGGGCATCAATTAAAGGGAAGTGTCCCGTCATGTGACTTGTCTAGCAGCCAGGACACAGCGAACAACTTGCATAAAAACCGACGCATAAAGACAAAAATGGAGCACAAAGAGAAAGACAGCACGTGAATGGGGAAAACCCATGACATTTCGTGCGTGCACGTTTGCTGTCAAAACACATGCATCTTACGGGCACGCGGATCAAAACGCTGCTTCGGCTGGAGCCAGCGCGCAGCAGTTACCCAGAAGTCCTTAAACAGCACGAAAATTTCGTCTTTCCCATTGGACGGTGAAGCTGTGTTGAAGATGGAGGATGTTGTGCATTGCCAATGCAACGCATTTACCACCCAACAATGGTTGTCCGTAGGTACCAATACCGTAAATGTGTGTGGTTGCATTTATAATCAATATGCTTTTCCAGACCAATATTACAATCAGTGTCTGTCAGTGCGCATGTTTGTTAGCTGTCTGCTGCACTCCTACAATTTGCTGTAATGTAAAGGAGACGAGCTGCATAGCTAAGTTTGTCACACCCAATCATACCTGTACGAACTTTTGTTCGATGCCAGTTTTTAGGGTGTACATCGCATGTGAAGTACCAGGGGCGATCTTTGCTCTAGAGGTGATTTTTGCCTCTCCGGGTTCCGGTAGCGGCCGGTCCATAAACTATAACACGTGCGCATTTGAGTTGAGAAATTCGGGTGATTGTTCGCATCTTCGGAAATGGTCCAAAGGGAAGTCAACACTGGGCACAAGTCTAGACAAACTGGAAGGCCTAGGTGATGGCGGCACGCAAACGGCACAGTGTAGAGGACAGGCCGCTCCAACCCAGTTATGTCCGTGTCCGTGTTTGTGAGCGATGGACTACCCTCATTCCAGCGGGCGTCATGAACCTGCCGCCTTTGAGCCATGCTAATGATTTGTGTCGAATCTCAGAAGCCAAATCAACGGAGACACGCAGCTCGACTATATGCAGCAGCATCTTGATTAGACCACGGATCATGCAGCAAGTCCACTGTTGCCCTTCCCCCTAGGAAAGCCAGCCATGCACCGAACAGACCTAAAAACGGTCCATCTGGACTGCAGGTCTCTCGGGTGAAAGCCGGCGACACTCGTCCCAGCAGCACCTATGACCGTGCGGTCGTGGTGCCACTCACCGGTGCACCATGAAGTGTGCGTTTTCAATGAATAAACAGCTTTCAGATACATACGTGGTCTGCAGTTGTCATGCGTTCCGTAGCCGTCATGAATTGCAACAGTTTGTCACTCCAGCAAGTTCGCAAGCAAGCCAGATGTATGCGTGTGCTTTTGATCAAAGCCAGCTCGACGTTGCCCAAAGACGTTACGCGCTGCACAGCTGCGACGCTGCAGTTCACTGCAGATATGCCGCAGGAAAAATATACTACGAAGTACACTCACTACCAAAAGTTGGATTGGAACGCAGATCAGAGGCCGCGTGCTCGCCCTCGCGTTACGGAATGTCTGAACGACACACCCCCAAAGTTGCACATCTTGTGCTAATAATGTGCTTTCTGGCACATATGACATCGTGTGACAGCTGGTAAGGGCGCAGTTTGTAGCGTTCAGCGAACACTAAGCAGTAAAGCGGTCCTGGCATTGCCTTCAAATGCAATGAACAAGTTATCCATGAATCAAATGGTGCGTTGCGGAAAACAGGCGTTCTAGTCAGTTCATTAGGATCGCGTGCTACTTTTGTCGAAACAGAGACAGACTGCCTTCAGCCAGCGTACGCACGATATTCATTCGCGCTCACGTAAAGCAAACAAGAGTAGGTGGATACACAGCGGTATAGTACCGACCCAAATGGCTTGTTATACCCGTTTGTTCGCTACCAGCAATATTTACCCGTTCACTTAGCAAATAGATCGTTATTTCATGTCACTGTCGTGGGAAAGTATTGAATATTACACTTGCTTACGTGATCCTTCGAGGGTTATGCCGACAAAGCATCAAATCCGTCGCTCTTTCAGGAGATATTTGATGTACCAGACAGGCTTTTAGGGCTTCATTATCTACATAACATTACACTGGCAAATCGCGTTACAGGCTTAAAGGCGTTCATAACCTCATTTTCGCACCTGACTCCAAATGTGGCACAAGTGCGCTTGTCATCGCACCAGGCGTCAAATGCACCTAGTAGTTCGCAAGCCTATTTAAAAAAGGCATTTAGTTTGCATACAGACCACATCTCGGAGCATTATCTGTGCTAATGTGCACTTGGGAGACACTTGGTGAACTGAGGAGCGATCATGTGTCTGTTGGGTCGGAAATTACCCACAAATTGAAAAAGGTGGCCAGTGTTTGGTTGCCGGTGGACAACCATTGATTATGTCTCATGGGTTTTTGCATGAGACGGACAGGAGACGAAAAGGGCTGAAGCGGCTATTCTGGGAAGGTCTTTAGCGCGTCAACTTTCTGGAGCTACGCACACATAACACATGGAGAGTGCTCACAGCGCCCTCACCTAATCTTTATAGCATCCTTGTGTACGAGAGGAAGAGGGATCAGTGTGGCCCCTCCTGTCATGTTTAGCCCTGTCTCATGGTGCCAGCTTGACAGAGCGTGCTAGGGTAGCTCCTCCTGTCACGTTTAGCCCTGTCTCATGGTGCCGGCTTGACAGAGCGTGCTAGGGTAGCTCCTCCTGCCGCGTTTAGCCCTGTCTCATGGTGCCAGCTTGACAGAGCGTGCTAGGGCGGGGTACGAAAGGCGAACTGACGTCACTCACTCTCCCCACTTCTCAGAACGTTCCGCCAGGCCTGCTGCGCGGTAAACTGCCATGTTCATGAGATCTGCGGTGCAGGGTGCACAGAGCGCGCGCACACGACAGGCAGCGGGGATGACGACAGCGCGGCACGAGGAGCATCCGTCCCTCGTCTCTGCAAGAATGCGTCATCAAGCCTATGACGGCGCATGGATAGCGCGCTTACGGGAAAATCGCATCTCTGCTTTCGCGCAGCTCTTCTTGGGGAGATCGCCCATCACTGGCAGGGAGTGATGCGTTGCAGCCGGCGAGAGGGGTACACCGAGCATCGGCCGTCACTGGCAGGGAGTGATGCTATCCAGCCAAGGAGAGAGGGGTACACAGAGGATCGGCAGTCACTGGTAGGACCCGGCCGGCGAGAGAGGTGTACACAGAGCGCCGGCCGTCACTGGCGGGACCCGGTCGGCGAGCGAGGGGTACACAGAGCGCCAGCCTTCACTGGCAGGACCCGGTCGGCGAGCGAGGGGTACACAGAGCGTCGGCCGTCACCGGTTGGATCCGGACGGCGCGCGTCACCGCGGCGCCGCCAGAGTCCGACCGCGCGAACCCGGCCGGCCGCCGCTCCAACGCCAGACTCACTTACCTCTACCGCTGCGCCCGACGAAGCGGAGATCGTTGAACTTGGCCACCTGGTTCTTGATGAAGGCCATGTTGTTGCGCAGCTCGCCGGATGGGTTCTCGTCGTTGCCGACGCGCAGGGTGACGGCCGTGCCGTCGGCCACCTCGCCCAGCGCGATCACCTTGAAGGCCACAGGTAGCGTCTTGTTGGAGCGCCAGTGGGAGGGCAAGCACGTGCAGACGAAGCACGGCGAGCCGGTGCGCACCAGCTCGTGGCCGTGCTCGGTGGCCACCTGGTTGTAGGTGCGCTCCGTCAGGTACATCTCGGGCGCGCCGTTCATGGCCGGCTCCCGGTAGCGCTCCTGGTAGCCGACGTGTCGCAGCTCTTGCGGCAGATGCATCGGGGTCCACGCGGCGGCCGCACGGCCGGCCACCTCACGGCGGATGGCGCGCGCGGCGGGAGCGGCGCCGGCTTCACAGGCGCCGCGCTCGTTGGCGCCCGACCACGCGCCGCTCACTTCAGCTCGCTCCGAGGCCGCCGCTCCGGCACGCGCCGCAACTGCGCTATGAATGACTGGCCCCCGCCGGCCGCGGCGCGTTGCCCGCTGCTGACTCAGTGGAGAGCGCGCATGCGCGCTGGAGCCGGCGCCGCCGCAGCGATCGCGCGCGTAATTTGCATATAATTGGCGCGAGGGTTTGACGACGGCCGGGTCGGACCGATGATTGATGACCACGACCAGCGCTGATTGCAACTGTGCCGTGCACTCCAGCCACAGCAGGGTCAGCTCCTTATTAGCGACACTTGCATATTTCCAGTTCAGGCTCCCCCAGCATATCCTAATCACATGTCAATCTTCAAGTATTCACCAAAATTCTGAAACCGCATTACACGTCACCGAAAGTGAGGCGTGCGGACCACGGGAGGGTATCAGCTGAAAACACATGGAAGTTGAAGAGAGTTGAAAAGTTATTTAATGAATGTGCCTGCAGCTGAAATGGTGTGGAAATATGAAAATCCACCCCCGAAACGAGGATTTGTCCCCATAGTTCTTGACAATTATCCAGCACCAATCGCCTGCGCTCGTAACCGATTAAAATATTTTACCTTTTGGTGTCGACTGCGAGGGAATCTATTTTGACTGGAGGAGTCAAATTCACCATCGAGGCGTCCCGCTGGACCTGGGGGATCCAATAGGCAAAAACCTAGATCCAACTAAGGGTAGTGAAATACGGGAGAAACAACAGCTGCGCCCAAAACACCCAGACAGTTATTATCTCGTTTACCCCCCCCCCCCGCCCCCCAGAGACACATCTCCACAGAGACCCCGCCGGCAGTGGATCCGCCGCAAGCATCCTCACATTAGAGAGCCAGCCCGTCCTGCAGGAGGCCTCACGCCGCCTGGAAAAGACCAGGTCCTTGAACTCTGACTTATCCATTTTATCTAAAGCGTCTTAGCCTGGCTCAGTGCGTTTAATCCATTTTGGTTCAAGTTTAATCCGTCTTAGGGGCACCGAAGGAAGGCTCGTTCGCCTCTTGAGGTTTGGTCCGGACTTAAAGAGGCCCTGCCGGCCATGAAGGGAACGATCCGCCGCAAGATCCGCCGGTAAAGAATCTTCCGTCAGATTCTGATTTGGGTTAGAGGACAAGACGCTCTTTAGGTACGGAGGTGGCAGACCGATACAACGGTGGCGCTTTTGGTAATTGTGGTGTCGTATGCAAGGCCGCCGTTGCAAGTGATTCTTGCTGAGGCCGAGAACCGCAGTGTCTGCGGCGAGCGGTTTCGGTTATCAGAAATCTGATGCCGTCACTAGTTCCTCTCAGATTCAAGTCCCTGGAACCGCCAGGAGTCAGTGAGAATTAGTCAAAGTTGAGCCTCGTAATAGGCGATGAGGTCAGCGCATTGCGGCCTCGATCTGACACCTTTGCTGAGACTCCAACTGCGGTCGGCGTGGTAAATGTCGACAGCACGTGACCGCTTGGGTTTAATGCGTCTGTAAGTTACTCAAATCGCTATAAATTGCGGCGTGCCAAAGCAGCGGACCGACCGACCTCTGGAAACAATATCGGACTTCATTAAGTTCTTGACTAGCATTTACTTTTGTCTGACCCGCCCTCCGACATCATTATCTGGGTTAATTAGGCTCAGGTCCCAGCCTCTGTTTCATCGGCACCTGAAAACTTTTTGCAAAATAGCCGTTCGTTTAGCCATCGGTGGGCCGATCACAGAGCTCTTACAACGGGTATATCGCAGGCTACACCAATGGTCACTTAAAAAAGGCGCGTGCCGCACATTGTCGCGCGCTTTTTTGGAGCGCAGACGCCAAATAAGCCGCAGACGACACATTAGCGCTGAAGGGCCACGAACCCACTGGGATTCGTACCCGGACCCCTACATAGGAATCATCAGGACAAAGCCACTTGGGTGTCTTGCAAGCACTTTCTACAGAAAGCATTATCCTCTGTTCCCGATAATTTGCTCTTGTCCTGGCCCAGGTTCCGAAAGGCATCTAACAAATTCGCTTCTAGGAGTAGAGGGATGCTAAATACTGGGTTCAGAGGCTAGGGACGCACAACACATACATGCAGTAGCATGCCGGCAGATGCTTTAGCAAGCTGAGCGCCCACCTGGCCACGAGCCCGACTTGTGCCGATTGTTTTGGACGCGCACTAAGTTAACACGTGACACGCCAACAGCAGTAGTTCGTACTGACGAAGACGTCCCGGCCGGCGCGTCGCAGTGGTGTGGGTTTGACATGTCGCCGCGCCCGGGGTCAGCGAGTCGCTGATGCGGACCCGAGACGAGGCTGACGCTCTGAGGGTGGGAGAGCCGCCTGCAGCAGCAGGTCACCGCCAGAAGCGATAGCAGCGCCAACGCAGCGCAGATTGTCAGGATCATTAAAGATCACCGCGGTTCACCGCACAGAGGTGGCACTCGTGTCGCCTGGGCCTAGCGCGAGCTCAGGGTGAAGAAGTGTTGCTCTTCCCCTCCTCTCCCCCACAGAGGCACAGCCGCAGACGAGCGATGATGCATCAGCCTACACCCGGCTAGCGTACTGCACGTTCATTGTGGTTGGAGAAGAGAAGGTCGTCGAAGCGTCTCACTCCGAGAATCAACATCTTAAAAGGTGGTTTCATTGCCGCGGTTTGACCTGCACGGCTGGGACCTGACTTCGCCGGGACATATAAATAATCACATGTCGCAGCCCAAGTAGCTGATGCATGGTTGACAATGACACGGACCCGCAATTTCAAGAGTAAAGCTTGCTTTCCGAAAAAACAACAATCCCATTGGTGCGCCAAAGCCCCATAATTGGCACGGCTGACACTGTCCATTAGGCAAAGTGGGCGATTCTTCGCCTGGATTGGAAAATATGTCAAGACCTCGCCGCATTTTGTTGAAGCCAAAACGCTAATACCCACTGTCCCCACATGAAGATTATGCTACCAGGTTCACTGTGCACCACATGGACTCAAAATCGCCATGAGCAAAAACACATTCGCTCACAAAGTGGGTGTGGCCGAGCTCAGCAGACAGAGAACGGAATGTGACCGTAGTGCTTTGTGTCGAAGGGCAGTGGCCTGTTCTGTTGGAATTGACCTGGATTGACGGATTGTATTTTGACCTTCACAAAACCTGCTCTCGTAGCAAAGAAACCAAGTGTCGTTGATATTGTTGTAAGCGTCAACTCTTGCATGAGCCTGTTCCCATCCTCGACGCAATGATTACTTCTCTTTAAAGACGGAGCAAATCACCAGGCCCAAAGACGGATGGCGCTTAATTACCCGCATTTTCTGCATCAGGTGTTATACCGGTATTATTTGAAAAGCTATGAATGGGTGGTAACAGTTCGAACGTTTCCGTCCGTTCGACATCTAAATGGATGTCAGCCATCACCTTTGCGGCAAAATCGGCTGAAAGCATTGCACCATTATGGATTGATGTCACATCGTGTCTGGGTCTTCAGACGTCTCGCATGCACTATCTTTCATTGGTGGCTCAATTTGCTTCATCATGTGTTGCGCCAGCAGTCGAAAAATGATTGCGCATACAGATCAGACCAGTTAGGTTCAATAAGTATATGGGAAATGCTTACATGAATATGCTACACCTAAATATGAATCAGGATTATGCTGCAAAGAATACTGAATTGAACATGACTGATACGGGCACGCGACTTGCACATTTTTTTCGCAAAGGAGCCGTTCGGGGACATGACCGACTTCGAGGAGTTCAGTTGGGCTCCAACTCTCACCTGCCTTCGCATTTGGGGTGTGCCACTGAACACGCGGAAATACCACAGCGAGAATATTACGGTCGAGTCTATGAACAATACAGTATACAATAAGTCACTTTAAACCACCTGGATGCGTCCTGCTTCGTGTTCAGAATTAATTTCTATTCATGGTTTTTGAAGGTCAAGGCAGTGGAATCCAGGCGTCATTTTCGGAGTCGCTAATAAATCGTGCGCACTTTTCCCATTCGCACAGATTGCGGGAGGATCGGCTCAGCAGGTTCTGAGTTCGGACTTGCTGCATTGTACCGAAGGAGCTCATACGGTTTTTAAGGTTGAAGGCTCTACTGGTAACATACGTTCACCGCTTTCGAAGCTTGGATTTTTGTTTGGACTTGGAACTTGGACTGGAACGACTTTTACCGAGTTCTTTTAGATTTTCCTTAATAGCTAACTTCTCAGGCTAAGTCGAATCAGCTCGTTGCATGCGAAACCTCCGCTAATGGATGTTCGGAGTGTATAGTAAAAAGCTTGTTTTATTCCGAACACAAAATCACTTTATTCCAAGAGGGATGGTAGTAGCTTGAGGTTATAAGAAGTCATCCAAAACTTTATTATGAACTCCATCGTGTCGCGGACCACCTTGCACTTACAAATGCGTGTGAAATGCACTGATCTTGGTGCGCTGTACAATATATAATTAAGCTTCTTTGAGCGATTTTTGAATCCTGCAATCAACACTGCTCTCGAAAGTCCCTTACGGCGACATCATGAGTAATTTTGGTTATGAAATGACGGCCACATGAGTAAATTGGAGATAGCAGCAAGACCACACTGAATTGCCCGTCCTGTAAGATCAGTTGGCTGGACGGCGACCCGTGCATGGCGAGGTAAGTTTGAGTAGCTTTAAGCACTCACGACCTGCCTCTGAGTGGGGTGGTCCGCGGTCAGTCGCAGCGGCTGCGTTAAGGCTTAGGTGACGTCAGAGAGCCAGACGGCCGTGCCGTGCGTTAAGGCACGCTTAACTTTCGCCGTCAAATTATGCCGCCGGTCTAGAATTTCACAGTCGGATGGAAGGGTTAGGGCTCATGCGACAAACAAGTTTTAGGGTGGGCTCTGAACTTCCACTTCAGAGACTAGTCCTATGAAAAGCTTCGGACCAAGCCAGAATGCAGTGTAAAGTCATAGATAACTCAGATGCTTCAGATGATATGATAACTCGTGATA